CTCCGAATAACATATAGAAATGTGCCATCAGGCAATTTGTAAAACATGTTTTACAAAATTATGTTTGTCATTATGTTATATTAGATCTCAAAATAAAATTGTTCTCTTGACATTAAGTCTGCCATGAGCATCCTAACACTTAAAAAAAAAAAAAAAAAAAACTGCACGACACTCCCACTGCATTAGAGTTACAACCCTCTTTATGAATGAATATTCTTGTTATTATTATTTCACCAACAATGCTAATGTTTTAGAATACCATTACCTTCTGTCCTTGCTGGTCCTAGATAAATCAGCACTGCACTTCTTCACTCTCACAAAGCACCTAAAAGTCAGAAGTTCCTTGTCCGACTGCATAATGAGCTGCTGCCTGAGTGAATCGGGCGCTAATTACAAACAGATTGTGAGCTGCAAATTGAATGTAAGGTGCAGTGCAAATTTGCCCTGCACTTTCATGTGCATGAATCTGCCTCTCTTTGTTTTGCCATGTCAGTTCAGTGGGTACTTATAATTTGCAGGTGACACAATTCAAAATGACAGCATCATATGCAGCCGGCAGCAACAAAGGGGTCCCGGTAAATAAATTTACATTTGCACTGACAGTGGCCCAGCTCCAAGAGTCATGTTGGTAATAGAAGAGATATGGACCCTCTCCAATTCCAACACCTGTCACAGTCAATGTTCACTGGATGCTATTGGAATTCAGGAAGGGGAGTTTCATCATTGTGGCTAATGAAGCGAATAGACACGCTGATTTGATGTGAATGCCAACAAGATCCTATTCTGTTAGCATTAGGCTTAATTGGTGCTGTCAATCACAAGTGTGTTTCCGTGGAAACGGTGAGGATCAATATGAGCCTGTATATTGAGTAACCTAGATCTGTATTATATGAATGGATGTGTCTTATGAAGCGTGATATAGTAGGTGCATGTGTGCATGTGTGTGCATACATTATAGAAGTGCAAGAATTTACATAGTAGGCATTCAAAATATTGTCCTTTGACAGTTTAGTTTTCTTCTTGAATATGTTTGGAAAACAGAATATCCCATTTTTTAATGTTCATATAACAATAACTGAGACTTGATTTGGATATTCTAGTAGGCTGGTACATCTTATCAGAGTAAATTCTTTCACCTTCACAGAGCTTTGGACAAGGAACCAAATGGAAAATGCACCACTTACTCAGTCTTTTAATTCCTCAAATGATATAGATGTGTTTAAAGATACCTTTAAAGTTCCAGAGCAGATAGCATGAATGTGCTCAGTTTGGATTCTGGTTTAGTTTACAAACTACCTACAGTCAGTGGTTAACGTGTGCTACTGAATGATGTTCAATTAGTAACTCCATTTGTATCCTCTTTGTGATGCATGGTAATAATTAATTTAGAAGATGAGGCTTTTAAGGAGGTTTTGTGTATTTCTGGAAAAGGTGTAAGTAGGACAGGCAGACACCTGCAGCTACTCTTGTACCACCTGTTCACCTGTTAGTTACCTCTATTTGAACCATTTCTGTTGCTGTGACCTGCTGAGATCAGATGAATGTAGTTGCTCCTCAAGCACAGATAAAAATGGCGGATTCACCTCTGCTTCAATGGAACATGATTTATATACAAACTGCATCATAAAAATGTTGATAGCTGTTTTATATGAAGAAAAAAATTTTGTCCTATCTTTTATGGAGGTGAATCTAACAACACACAGCAGCAGTCTGTGGCACTGCAGCAAAAAGTTTTATCATATGTCCCACATTTTCATTCTTACAAGTGGATCAGTGTTATGAGTCATGCTCTTTCCCTTTGAGACAGGTGTTCTGCATGTCCCATATTCCTAATTATGTAATCATATCCCTACACACGCACACATGCAGACCCACTGTGCCTCCTGCTTCCCTCATGTGAGCCCTCTGGGTTTCACTATGTGGAGCACCAAATGAGATCACGTCTCATGTGGAGGGGATAAACCTCAGACAATAGAGAGAGAGAGCAAGACAATCAATTGGAAAGGGGTGTCACAATACATGCAGGTGAAGTATTAATCTGAACAGAGATTACTACAGGAGCAGTAGAACAAATCAAAAGAAGGATATATGGTATATAATGTGTGGGGATGGTACATGCAGGTGTTGGGGTGAATATTTCCAAATATGTCAGTCAATAGTGTACCAGCAAAGTTTTTTGTGATTATTGCAAACAAAATTGACTGAATATACTGTATGTTATAATTTTATTGGCTGGTTTATTTTTATTTGACCCGGGCTCGTTGCTGTTATTTAAGGAAAAAGACTGACAGCCTCTCAGAAGAAGTGTGGAGATTGGTCATATACTATACATGTAACACGGTTTATTATATGAATGTTGAGTTTGTTTTTGCTACCTATGTTGTGACATGCACTTTCAATCATCTGTTACCATCTCCTGGATTAGTAAAAGGACTTAAAAATAGCTTACTCAGGTGTTGCAGCAACACACAGCAATGTAAAACTATTCATATGAAACACACAAGTGCAATATGTAGTAGACCTGACATGTCACATAAAGTAGTCTGCCATGGAAATGAATGAAACGGTTTTGGCATCATTTGTCATTTTAGTCTTGTGTCTGATTTTTTTTTTTTTTTTTTTTTTTTGTCTCATAATTTTTAGTTCAGTAGCATTTTAAGTGGAGGTTTTGGACCAATCAGGTATTAAGAGATTGTTCATCGAGACAGACTGTGTTGGATTGATTTCAGTTCACACAGGTTTTCAATGAACACCTTTTGAACAGACTTTGCTCAAGCGTTTAGGCTAATGTTATCTCTATCGCACCTGCTCTTAACAGCTAAAAAGCAACCATTTGATACCTCGTGCAAACTTGAAAACTTTAATGTTTAATCGAGAAAAATCACCCATGACTTGGATGTGTTGTGCTATAGCTTATCACAAAGTTGACTAAGTGGTCCTTTTAGTGCAGTCAGGGACAGATGAGTTCATACCAAATCAAACAGATCACTGGCCACTCTTGAGGGTCACCTGAGTGATTGAAACTTAGTGCATGCCCTTTTCATTTGCAGGTGCATTCACACCATTTTTCTAGCTGTCAATTCATGACCAGAATAGACACATTCTGATGTAGCTCTGTCTTTATATCCATCTGTTAAATCAATCTGCCAAACACTGTCATTAGAGACAACATTGGCAACCACATTTGTTGTTTCTCCTTTTGCTCTGTTTATGCCTAATAAGAGGAGACAGGTAACACAGCAGGTGCCTAAGGTCATCATATCTGCATGATGATCTACCATTTCACACATGCTTTAGGTTTTTCAAGTTTCTGCAGTAGTAAATAGATTGAAAAATAGGATGGACCTGATTCTCTGCTGGCACCTCTGGGGAGCTTGGACTGGAATAGACTGGAATGAGTTCAATTCTCTGTCGGAATTAGAAAGAAGTCTTAATTTGGAGCACAAGGCAGAATGAGAGAGAGATTTTCCTTGTTATTTTCATGGGATGATGGAAACGAAGAGAATGTAAGACAGAACTGTGGGATGAAAGTAGTACATAGACAAAATATCGTGTAAAATCATAGACAGCATACCGTTAGCGTGTTGCTCAGAATCCATCTTGATAGCTCTGACCTGTAGGCCTGTACTTATGCGCATACTCTTCCATGAAGATGTGAGCGTCTTTTAGCGTGTATGTCCAAACATGCACCTGTTTGTCTGAAGGCATGTGTCCATTTTAGTGTCCATGTTTGTGTAATGTGTGTGTGATTGTAAGTATGTTCTCCCCTGCTCCTGAGGCAGCAAGAGGACAATGCCTGTCATGATGCAACAGGCAGCTAATCCTCTCCTTATGTAAACGCTTGACTGCTATTCAAATGACATGCAGATGGGATAGAGAGCTTAGGTTTTGGCAGCGTAGTGTCATAACAAGGAGTGTCTGTGGAGACAATGTGCTGTCAGCATTTGGGTGATTAATGCTGCACTTTGTGTTTTAAAAAAAGAAATCCCTTTGGGGCCTGTGGAGAGATTAGCAAGTGTACATAGGTATCAGCCAAAGCTTGATGACCTCTTAGCCTTATGAGGTGGCGGACCAAGAGAGGATGGCTAAGTGCAGATTCAGTCGTCTAAAAGGGGACCTGTTGTGGCAATGCAACATGCATATTTTCACCAAGATGAGATTGAACACCAGCTTTAGAGAAAAACATGTGGAGCAAGCCCCAAGGAAAACTGAGATTGATTTTGATTTTGGGTTGCCTGGGGGGGTCAGAGTAATTCCGAAACAATGAAATGTTACTGGAATTTTGGTGTAGAGTCTGAATATATTTACCCTTTATCATTCATCTAAATTCATGAATCAAGATTTTTGTTTTTGTTTATTTTAGTTTATTGCCATTCTGCAGTACATTTGTGTGAGAAGTGTAGGTAACGCAAAGTGAAGGGAATATAATATCTATCAACAGCACAAAAAATCATGTGAAAGGAAGCAATAAAATTAGTTTTTGCCATCATGTATCTATCACATCACACATCACATCTATCACATTATATTGCTTTTTTCACATAGTTCTTTTCTTATCTCCTCTACAGATTCTCCATTATTCCAAGGGTCCATCGATTTGAGTCGCTCACAGCTGACATCTACAGAGAGAGTATGAGGACAAGCTGTGTTACTCCACACTGCAGCCCAACAAGATATGACATAACATGGGTCCCCTGTTAAACACCATGATTACCATAAAGCTGTGACTGGCATTGTGAAGCCCTCACCCCTCTTCAGCACCCGACCCGGAGCCTTCTCCTCTTTGGAAATCCTTCCTAGCAACCTTTGTTGCTTCCCTTTCTCCTTCCTTCCCCACAAACACAACCTCCTTTCCTGCCGCCCTTTCTCTCTTTAATAATCACTAATTCCCCTCTTTCTCATTTCTCATTTTCTTCAACATCATGCAGGGTACTTCTACCACCTCTAGTCTCCTTCTTCTTATCTTTCCTTCCCTCTTATTCCTCTCCCATTTCCCCAACATGGTCAACGGGGACTGCTGGCTCATTGAGGGGGACAAAGGCTACGTGTGGCTGGCTATCTGCAGTCAGAACCAGCCGCCATACGAGACTATCCCCCAGCACATCAACAACACGGTCCATGACTTGAGATTGAATGAGAACAAGCTGAAAGCTGTGCTCTTTAGCTCCATGTACCGCTTCACCAACCTGACAGACCTCAACCTCACCAAGAATGAAATCAGCTATATTGAGGACGGAGCCTTTGCAGGACAAGCCAACCTACAGGTGACGGATGACAAAAGCTTTGTGTTTTACTCAAGAATATAGCTCAGCATGCATTAGAGTTTAGTTTGAGACTAGCTCTTTCACTTTGCCTACAGTGTGAATATGATTTTGATTTATTTTGGAAAGGTAATTAGAAGCTTTATTCCCGGACATGTCATTGAACTACATTTCAGTGGAATTTCTTTATTTTATTTACTCGAAATTTTGTCTGAATGCATGAGAAGCATGCATCAGGAGGAGACCCAAATGAATTAAATAGCAATTTGAGTGATGGTAACTGTGCTTCATTATAATCTTTTTTCAGTAAACTCAGCTGAAGGCATAACACCACAAATAACTCAGACATGGAGGTGACTGTACTGAAAACTATGATAAAAAAACAGTTAAAGACATTCTCCTTTATGGCAATTTTAACTATATAAATATTAATATATCACCATGAAACTTCCCCAGTTGATTAATAACAATTACACAATTATTTGTTTGTATTACAAGTTTCCTGAAATGTTATGTTAAATATGCAAATGATGCATTATTTAGTTAAATAAGTTCAGACCTCTGAACATTTGGAGAAATAGTTCAGAGGTCAAAAATTTTGTTTTATTTTGTTGGCATATTAGAGTCAAAGGCTTCTTTATCTCTTTTGCATATCTCGTATATCTTTTAGATGAGAAAATGCTGTCAACTACCATAAAAAAAATCAATGTTTGCCCTGTTGTAGGAGTAGAATGTTAGATAAAAAAGGCTATGAATGATCTATGAATAAAACACCCTTTGTAAAAACCTTCAGAATATAAGAAGTAAAACTGCCCTAATGCTTCTTCTTTTGTGTTCTCCTCAGGTTTTACAGCTGGGCTACAACAAGTTGACAAATTTAACTGAGGGTATGATGAGAGGGCTTGGCCGAATGCAATGCCTCTTCCTCCAGCACAACCTCATTGAGGTTATTGCCAGCAATGCATTCTGGGAGTGCCCCAGCCTCAGCAGCATTGACCTGTCATCCAACAAACTTGCCCGCATTGACCCATCTACATTTACAGTTCTCGTTCGGCTGATGGTGTGTGAACTGGCAGCAAATCCATTCCACTGTGGCTGTGATCTTTATAGCTTCCTAACCTGGTTGGAGTCCTTCAACAATGTCACACACACCTATGACCGCCTCCAGTGTGAGACACCCCGGGAGATGTTTGGCTACCCCTTACTGAGTCCTGTTGCTGCGGGACATGCCGGTCGGAATGCCAAAAACATTTTGTACCATCACTGCCGAGACGGAGTGATGATTCCAGGGATGACCTCTCTCCCACCAGATCTGGACGGTCCCTCTGGGATCGGACCAGAGATGTTTGGTGGTGTGGGGCCCTACCACCAGCCCACCACCTCTTCATCATCTACTGAACTCGTCATTCCCAGCATCAAGCTCCATCATGTCTCTTTGTCATCAGCCTCTCTCCTTGTGCAGATTCCAAGGCCCTACAGCAAAATGTATATTCTAACACAATACAACCACACATTTGTGTCTGATGTCATGAATTTGAAGAACAAGAAGGAGATGATCACACTCAACAAGCTCAAGCCACACAATAATTATACTTTCTGTGTAGGATCCATCCGCAACTCTCAACGTTACAACCACACCTGCCTTCAGTTTTCTACTCGGGCTCAGAATCAAGATGACATGCTCCCCACACCTTCCACCACTACTCACTACATAATGACCATTGTGGGCTGTCTTTTTGGCATGCTCATTGTTTTAGGCTTCGTCTACTATTGTCTACGTAAGAAACGGATGCATGATGAGAAGAAGAAGTCCATCTGTGTCAAGAAAACAATACTGGAAATGCGCTATGGACCAGAGGTGGCAGCAGCAGTGGCAAATGATCCATCAGCAGTCCATAAGCTTCAGGAGCAGTCCAGAGACCATCACCAGTATCAGCACCACCACGGAGGCAAACTTCCAATGTCCACCTCGTCTAGTTCGGGAATGCTCCACTCAGCCAACACCAGTTCCTCCAGACTTTCCTCTATCCCACAAGTGGAAAAGATGGCCACTGCCTTTTCAGAGGCCATGGCTACAAGTAAAGGAAACTATATGGATATCAGAACTGGAGGGGCAGGTATGGAGAGGGTGGGAGATGGTGGGCATGGAGGGATGAGGGGGGAAGACTTGAGGGACGATGATGGAACTGATGTTGGGGATGACTCAGATGATGATGGACATGGCTCTGCATCAGAAATTTCAACCATTGCCATGGAGGTAGACAAGGTTAACCAGATCATTAACAACTGCATTGATGCACTGAAATTAGATGCAGCAGCAGTTGCTGCTTCTGGGGCCTCTACTAACCCTACAATCTCCTCCAATCCCACCTCCCCTCCCCCCACCAGTGCATCCTCCCTTACTCGTGGCCTAATCCCACTCTCCCAAGGGGTGACAGAGACTTGCCAGGTCATTGCTCCCAACAAAATACCCCCTCCACCTCCACTCCCTGCCTTGAATGCTCCTCTCTCTGAGCGCCCAGGGATCAGTGGTGGTGGCTTTGTTGTCACTCCTCCCTACAGGCCCCCTCCACCAGCCACTGCTGTACGTCCCATTCAGCGGCAAATGAGTGCAGATGCAGCTGTGGTTATTGTCAATGCTGTCAAGAAACAGTGCAGTACCACCTCTTGTGGCTCCATGGGTCGGGACAGGGAACGTGGAGGAGCAAGGGTGTATAGCCTGGATGTTCCTGAGCCAAGGAGTCCGGATGCGTGTAATCAACAACAGCAGCAGTACCCAGACAGGGCCAGTCCCGTGGGCTGTGGGGAGCCCCTAGAGAGGCTGCCTTTAGTGGGGAGCGGGAGCTGTGGTGGAGGGGGTGGTGGTGGTTGCGACAGTGGTGGTGTTGGTGCTCAACATCAGGACAGCCAGAAGCCACACCATTACCATCAACAGCAACAAATGCAGCAACAGCAGCAGCAGCAGCAGCTAGAGGTGCAGCAGGACTACCACTGCTCGGAGCACCGCCACTCTGTCCCAGCTCTCTACTATGAAAGCTCCCACCAGGGCTCCCCAGCCCAGAGGGTTTCCTTCCTAAAGCCTCTGACGCGCTCACGCAGGGATGCAGCATCTTACTCCCAGCTTTCACCTGCCCGCCACCATTCCAGTTATTCTGGCTACTCCTCCAGCCCAGAGTACTCCTCAGAGAGCTCGCTGAGGATCTGGGAGCGCTTTCGTCCCTACCGGAAAGGCCAGCGCGATGAGGCCTGTTATGTGACGGCTGGAAATGCCCTTCGAAAAAAGGTGCAGTTCGCCAAAGGCGAGGACCTGCATGACATCCTTGATTACTGGAAGGGTGTGTCAGCACAGCAAAAGCTGTGACTGTGGGACCAGAGTTAAGTATTGTGGGAAAAAGAGTTTGGATACTTCTTTTCCTGATAGGCCTGTGGGCCAAAGAAAACCATCTGAAGTTTATGGGGAGAAAAATGTACAACAAAATTTTGCCTTTGGGTTTTTTTGGCATGCTGTATAGAGTATTGTGCTAAGAGCAAGGACTGTGAAACTGTGCCTGGGATATGAGAGTAATTATGGTGTTTTGTTTTACACTTCATTGTAGCCCCATTTCTGGATCATTCTCATTTAGTGTTTGTGGGTTTTATTTATAGCACAGGGAGCAAATGCCAACTGTGTAATTCAGTACTCTTTGAGTGGTCACATTTTGTGATCTTATGGACCATCTTTATCAGTGCCATGTTTCCATCTATGGGTAATCACAGATGGTAAATGTTGATACCCTTCACTTTAAGCTTGTGTGATCCAAGATGTTGTTTATTATTTTGTATTGAGTGCTGTATCAATTTTGCAGTGTGTATTTGGATATGTTTAGGCTCCTAAGTGAAGGTAGACTCAGACAAGGTGGGAACTGCGCTCTGTTATGAGTGACAACACGCTGATCAGAGAACAGATTTGTCAAATGCAGGCCATATCTCTCTTCCATGAGATCCATCATGCAGTGGAGGTATTTGCATTTCAATATTATCTGTCACACAGAAAGAAAGGAGAAATTGGAAAGAAATGAACAAATGAACAATGAAAAGACAGTCAAGTGTGCTGGAAGGTCCTGCAGCATAAGGAAATCATGAGAGAGAGATTAAAGTGGAACCTTAGCCTAAAATAGTGCTGTGATTGCACCCTGAGGTGTTTCGCACATCTTTCCAACTTACACTCTTCCATGGTTCATTGAGTGATGTAAAGAACCTCGTCCCGAACTGTCCTAAACAGCATTTGCCCAAGTAATGATCAAAATTGTGAGTGTAATTTGAAAGAGTGAAGAGGACAAAATAAGGTTCCCTTTATGAAGGTAATTATATGCTACTTACCCGATAGTGTACAATAGGGACATTTAACTAAGTGACAGATGAGCAATCCCCTTACAAAAAGACATGACAGATTCAACCCATATGTGAGACAGACTAAGAGAAATTGAAAGCGAGAGGGGGTATGAAAGAAAAAATGGGAAGAAAAGAATTTTTCTGCATCCACTGTGAATGTAAGTAGATTACCAGCAGGTTAATGGGAAATCTCTTTGCATCATTCAATGTGAGCACCACAGTACATTCCAAATCCTTTCTCTTACATCAACACTGAATGAGGCACAGAGGGAAAGGACACTTCTAATTACTGCCAACGTGTCTGTTCTGTTCTGGAAATTAATATTCTTGTTGTCTATTGATAACTTAATTAGCCAACTTGTGACAGGCATGTTTGCTTGCACTTTACGCCTCATGATTGTGTGTGGCTGTGTGGTACACAGTAGTCAGTGTAAGTGGGTTGTTGGCATGCCTTGTCAGATTATATTGTATATGCCCAAACTGACTTAAATTAATAGTTGTCAATATTTTGCCCAGTGGCTGGTTGTCTGAGTCTAAACAATAGTAGATTATTAATGGCATGGACAAGTGTACAAATATCAACGATGTTCAATGTATTTTCCCAGACACATCACGTGAACGTGATGCTTGGATATACCACAGTAGCATAGTGCCTCTTGCTAACACAGCCATGATCTAATCTCCATTCATGTATAGTATTATTAAGTGTCATTGCCTGGCATTCTGACAAAGGGCATCCTGCTTACCCAAAGTGCTGTGTAGCTGTTAAAATTACACATCATCAGCGAACATACACAATCTGAGACATCCTCCCCTAAAAATGTGAAAACTGAAATGAGTTGTCCTTGCTCCACTCTTTTTGTTCACGGCTTAGAAGAGAAAAGCAGTTATCATGACAGGTTTAATTTCAGGAGGGCTTTTATCCTCACTTGTTTACTGTATTGATGTTTATTTGGCCCGCCCTCCCTGCTCCCACACGTCCAATGGGATATAGATTTGGAATGAGCAGGTTCCTGCTGAAATGACCTGCTCTGTGCTATTAAATTAGAGAGGTTAGAAACTGCCTTTTTTGCAGATAGGACCTGGCTCTGTACAGCACATATCAAAGTTGTTTTACTTCTCTTTTTTTTTTTTTCCTTTTTTTGAAGGGTTGACCTTTAGCATGTGGTTGACTCTTCTCAGTAAATGCAGTTTGAACAGCGATGAGTATGCAAATGTTAAAGGGTGGTGTGTAATGGTATCTGCACATTGATCTGTGTACTGTATTTATTCCTTCCTGTTTGTTTTCATGAAACATCTATCTCTGTCTCTTCCTCCCTCCTGTTTTATTAAGATGTGTGCACACAGTCAGGGTCAGAGGTCATATCCCTTGGAGTCAGTGTTGTGCTGTGAGCATTTGCCATTGACTGGACCACATAAGATCAAGGGCCTCACTGTCATCTTTTAGTAATAACATGTCTGGGATGCATCACCTCATCAGCCTTCTTTATATGATAAAGCACCGTATGATGAACATACAGTCTTGGAAATTTATTATCTGAGATAACAAAGTTTCTAAAGGGACTCGTTGCTATGATTGACTCAGACTTTCACCAAATCAGAGGAAAGGATTTTCTCAATCCCACAGAAGGAACTCGCTGTGTTTAACTCCCCAGATCCTCAACTGCCATAACAAGTTTACAGAAATGGACACTGAGGATAAGTGTAACAGCAAATTCAGAGATGTTCAGTAAGATCAGGATTGCTCACCATTTCAGTTGCAGTTAATGTTCGTCTACCTGGCAAAATATAATGTGAAAATCCTAATTCTTACTGTTTTCATTTTTTAATTTCATATATTTCCGGTTTTTAATTAACACATTTAACACTAATGTATTTTTCAGGAAATTGATTTTCAGGGGACAGATGCATGTTCAAGTGCTCTTCTGCTCAAACTCTCTCTGGTGATACAGCATTACTGGCCCAACTGAGAACATCTTCAGTGCTGGTGTGAGAAGTGCCAAGTTTTCTATTGATTTATAATCATTGTTTTCACCGTAGCTCAAATAAGTGTTATTTCCGAAGTTTTTTCGGGGGGGGGGGCATTGTGTTTCTCATCATCAATAATTACTTGAAAGCCTGCTGCCAAAATAACCACGAGAGAGTCATGTAAAATGGAAATGAAGACACGAGTACACACAATTCAAATTTGTCAATTTTTAAGCAATTTTCAAACAGCTGTAAAAACCATATTTGTATAAAAAGATGCTGACTTTTTGTTTTCTCAAAGTGGTCAGTGCTGCACTCCCAAATCAACCTCTTTTCTTTATTATTATTGCCAATTTTTTGCAATAATTGGTGATTTAGACCAAACAATTGCATCATTTGGGGTTGGAGCCTGAGGGGTAATTAATAACAGCTTTTTTCTGTTTTTTTTTTTTTTTTTTTTTTTTTGGCTATTAGAGAATTGAGGATGCAGTTAAAATCTACAATTGTCACTATCCAGGATTAAAGCATTCAGTTAAACAGAGTACACTCTTGGGTAATAGCCAGCTCAAATAATTTACCAGCTGAATTATTTAAAAAACTTTTAAGCAGGACCATAGATATTTCTCAAAACCTTAGTAATGCCATTATACCTGTTTTTTTTGTTTTTGTTTTGTTTTAGTTTTTTAGTTTTTTTTTTTGTCCCACAAGGCCAGCATCAAACAAAAAACCCCTCTCTTATATCTCAGTTTATTTCCTCGCCGTTCCCCTGGAGGGTGGCTCACTCAGAGATCGATGGTCCTTTTTGTAGCACCATCCTTGTTGTTTGTCTCAGAGCCACAGCAAAGCCAGGCGTGAGAAAGCCATCTAATGTGCTATTAATGTTTAATCCTTTTGTAGGAGGCTGGCTCGGGTTGCTACCCCTATCTCTGCGTAAGCCCGGAAAATCATAGACGCTTTCAGTTTCTAACATGTTAATCCTTTGATGCTGTCTCATATTAAAAGCCTGCCCCAATTAAACTAAACTCTGGTTTCTTAAATAATGAATCAGAGTTCAAAATGGGGTGTGGATTTATGTCTAATCAGTTTCTAAATTACTAAAGGAGTTAAATGCTTCCATTAGTAAAGACCACAGTAAAACGTTTCAGTCTTCCCATGACAGAGTGAACTTTTTACCCATTTGATCCATCCTCGAAGCACTCTCAGTCAAAGTGAGACATCGCTCTAATGAGTGATCATCATCATTTAATGGCAATCTGACGATGCAATATTAATACCAATTAGAAATACACAAAAATCAGTATCATCCTGAAATCATTCTTTTGTTTGATCTTTCACCGTCTCATAATGACAAGAAAAAATGTTTATATATGAAAGGCATCCCCTGTATATTATGAGCTATAATATCCATTGACTGATAACACCGGGTCAGCCTTATCATATGGTACAGGTGTACACAAGGTGGTAGATCAAGACCCAGGCAACAAGAGAGGGAATTTTAAAGAATTGAATAGTGTAGAATTGTTAAAGAAAGCAAAGTAATATAGGCTACAGGAAAACAGACATATATTGAATAACGCATCAACTTATGGCAACTTATACAACACAGAAGTCATTCTTTTCCTGTTGATTATGCAGCACATTAGAGTGATCTTTAAATTTTTTTTCCTCCCCCTACTCCCCTCCCCAAGTCACATACACATAACAAGAGCAAAAATGGAACATAAAAACGTGAGTCAGAATGAGTCAGTGTGACTAAACTAAAATGACTCTTCTCCTGAAAGCCAGGTAATGGGCAAAGTCTGCAAAGAGAAGAGAGCAATTAGAGAGGGTTTTTCTTTTTTTTGGCTGAATGCAGGCAGGCAGGCATCTGGGATAAAAGATATGGTGGCACGGCAAAACTAAAACTTCCCATGCATGAATCAGTGCACTGCTTCACATAAACCGTAATACACACACAAACACACACACATACACACACACACACACACACATGCATAACAGCAGCATATTGTGGGAGCAGTT